ATCACAGAAGCAGAGTGAAGAAGATGAAAAGAAGGGAGCTGACCTAAGTAACTTTGAGAAGCTGAGTTTCACCCATAAGGCTAAAGACACACACACACACAAACTGTACACCAACACTGTACTCTAGTTGGTAAATTTGTTTCTGACAAAGATATAGATCAGCAATTCTGAAACTCCTATTTGTTTACTACAGTTGAACAAAGTAATAAAGAATGTCGTGGATACTGAAAAAAACTACAGATAAGGAAAGGGAGAGGCTAGAATGAAATTTGTGTTGCTGAACTGGAGCTGGAGATATCAAATTATTCTGTTTAACATACAGGTTGTGCAGCCCTAATCTGAAAATCCAAAATGCTCAAAAATCTGGAACTTTCTGAGCACCAACATGACACCACAAGTCAATGTACACAAACTTTGTTTCATGCACAAAATTATTTAAAATATTGTATGAAATTAACTTCAGGCTCTGTGTATAAGTTATATATAAAATATAAATGGACTTCACATTTAGCCTTGGGTCCCATCCCCAAGATATCTCATTATGTATATGCAAAGATTTCAAAACTGAAAAAAAAAAAAAAACAACAACCCTGAAATTGGAAACACTTCTGGTCTCGAGCATTTTAAATAAAAGATACTCAACCTGCATATGCAGATGGATAATTATAGAAATAAAGATATGTGCTTATGCATGAATTAGCATACATACATACATAGATTTCTTAGCTCTAACTTCTGTAATAACAAGAAGCAATGACACCTATTAGCAATGAGCACACCTAGTGCCTAGATATTGGTTTCTAGGTACTATTCTCAAATCCATGAGCTCAGGCTATCCTCTCATCTTGGCCTCCCAAAGTGCTGGGATTATAGGTGTGAGCCACCATACCCGGCCTCTAGTTACTATTCTCTAATAAAACGAAGAGCCAAAACTCTGTGGAGACATGGTTGATTGCAGGACCCAGACAGAGAAAATACAAAATGAGATGGAGTGTCTTATCATGCTAAAAATGTAAGAAAGTGCCTTTAAAAGGGAATGGAAGAGATTAAAAGGGCACAGGAACCAATTTAAAAGAGTTCCCAATTGCCAAAGTTTGAACAACAAAATAAATAGCGATAGATAGTGATAGCATTGAATCAGAACTCACAGAACAACTTATGAGTCCAAGAGTTGAATAAATAAATTAGAGAGAAGGCACAATTTTTCCTTACAGAAGAATTCCAATTAATAAATGTAGAAGGAAAGCATGGAACCAACCATACCCATCAAAGCTGGACTGGAATGCAAACTAGTGCAACCTCTTTGGAAGACAGTGTGGCGATTTCTGAAAGAACTAGGAATTGACCTTCCATATGACCCAGCAATCCCCCTACCCAGAGAAGCTCAAATCATTCTACAAAAAAGATATCTGCACACACATGTTTGTTGCAGCTCTATTCACAATAGCAAAAACATGAAACCAACCATGCCGCCCATCAAAGCTGGACTGGATTAAAAAAATACGGTACAGCCGGGCTCGGTGGCTCAGCCTGTAATCCTGCGCCTTTGGGAGGCTGAGGTGAGGGGATTGCCTGAGCCCGCGGGTTTGAGACCCGCCTAGGCAGTGAGACCTCATCTCTACAACAAATCAAAAAATCAGCCGGCGTGGTAGTGCATGCCTGTATTTCCGGCTACTTGGAAGGCTGAGGCGGAAGGATCGCTGGA